GTTTATTGTTTGATTTTATTTTAATGTAAAAATGACCTCATTTGATCCTTGTTTTGAACGTCATTTCCGTCTAGCTTGTCCGAAATGGCAAAAAATGCTCTTGTTGCTTTTCACCTGTCATTTTTTTTTTGCTTAATTAATATATTTGTTATCCAGTCAGATATCTGGAAAGAATTGTAGAAAGTTAAAGAAAAGATAAAAGATGGATCATTTTTAGAAATCGAAGTGAGAGTGGGGGCTCATCATTCATGTTGATGCAAATTTACGGTTAATTAAATCAAGGGATTATTGCAACAGCTGTTCCAAATTTTTCTATTTTTCGTAGTCTTTACTTCAACATTCACTTTGTATTACTTACAGCTTCAAATATTTCATTTTATTGCAGCACAAGGATAAATGCATAATTGTTAGTTGACAAAAAAAAAGGTGGACTTTGACCATTCTTGATCAAATTGAAAAGGGTAAAATAGTATATTTACATTTTCCCAAATATTAATCATTAGAATAATTAAACTAAAAACAATAAAAAAATTGTCCCCCCACCCCACCCCATTCCATCTTCTTCTTCTTCTTCTCTTCATCAACAACATTGACTATGCCGCCACTCTCTTCTTTCCCAAGTCCACTAATCTTCTCATCTGCCTACATTGAAGGATTTTGAAAAGGGATTATTAATCCAAAACTTCATCAAACCCCAATTTATCAAAAAACCCTTTTCACATGCATATATATACACTCTATGTTGAAATCAATGAGAATATTAAAAGCGGAAACATACCTTTATCCATGTATCTGATTGCTTGAATTATAAGGGTTATGATCTTTAAGTTGATACGCAATTCCTCTAGAATTCTTCTCTGTTAATGGGGATGCAGCGAGATTGAAAATCACGTTCATTGGGAACCATGACCCCATGGTAAAATAACTGTATTGTGTAGTTATTATCTTTCACTTATTTTAAATTGGCCCCTCATCAATTTAAAATAATTTTCTCGTCTCTACACTTTATTCCCATGACATTTAATATCCGCTAGTCCAAAATTGGTTTTAATAAATTACTTTATTGACTAAACTTTTAAGATAGCATTACACATTTTAATATATAAACACATTTGTGGACCCACCGTTAGAATTTTTCAACAATCTCCCACTAAGCCATACATGTAATCTTACAAATGTGCACATCCTTATGAGCTCAAAATTTTGCTATCATTATTAAGGGTATTTCCAAACAATCTCGTCCATCAATTATATTAATATAGGATCAAAGCGATTTTCGTCACATTCAGCGTGACTAAATCCATCAATAATCACGTACACCCATACAACCAAATGATATAGA